GGCTGCGTGCAAGTGGGTCCTTGTGACACACGGGGATGGGGGCGGCCAGCGCTCAACCTGTCATCCACGTGGCTGGCCTTGTACGTAAGAGGTTATGAACAGGTGGAGCTTTCCTTACCTCCTTCCCCTTCCCCTTTTTTCCTTTTCCTTTTTTCTTTCCCCTTTTTTGCGCTCTGATTCACAATGTGACAATATATATATTTATATATATATATATTTTTGGGGGGGGGGGGTGTCGTCATTTTGTACTGGACCGTTCATGCGGCCGTACGACCGTCCGTATGGCCATACGTACGGTTGTACGACCAAATCCCCGTTCAACGTACGACGTGTTACACAACTGGTAAAAGCAGCCACTGCTAGCGTTGCAGGCAGGACCCCATCTATTGGTGGGGGCCATCACCTGCTGGAAAACGGATCCAGCGTCCCTTGTCATAGAGGACCAAAGTATCCGGAATAAGTGTCTGCAAGCGCATAAGTTTGTATACTCGCCTGCCAGCATTGATTACGCTGGGAACTAGGGGATTGACTGAGCAGACCCTTTTGCAACCCTGGATTTATAACTCTGAGTCAGCTAAAGACCATATATTTTGACAGAATTTTTTTTTCTTCAAAACCACTCCTTGATTATTGACCCAACAGGCGAAAGTTATTTTCCTTCAAGCCTCGCATCTTCCATAACACCTACACATTGTTTGTGCCAGGAGGCCCAAAGTACAACCTTTCTTCACAGATGATAAAAAATTTGTTGAATGTTTGTCAACTCTATCTAGGAAGGATTCCAGAACCCTACGAGAATTGCTCGGTATTCCCATGGCCAATCCAACCCAGTAAGCCTCCTCCAAATATTGTCCCATCTTCTCCACATGAGGATTGAGCCTGGACACTGTGTGAAAATTATGTGTTCAATAGTTTCTGTATTTCCGCGAAGGACATGCTTTGACACAAAACTGACACCAAGGTGTTGCCAGACTTTTCTATTGTAGTGCTGTACGATCTATTAACCAATTATTAGTAGGTAAACATATATGCACAATCTGCCACTGCAGAGAGGCAAACACTCAGTGGAAAGTGCTTTTGTTCTCTCTCGTTTTTCGATAGTTGACCTAAAGTATAAACGACTAGGTACAATGGATTCATTGGGTTGCGTTTTTTTGTTTGTTTTTGACACGTTTTGTTATCCATAGTAGTCCAAAATATGCAGAAAGTGGCAGATAGGGTAGGTGATAGCAGTAGGTAGTAGCAGCTAGTTTAGCAAGTAGTCTTGACGTGGTAGGTAGTGGTCGTCCTCTTGGCAGCCGAGAGTTGCGGTCAGTAGCGGCCTTAGGCCTCAGGTGTGTCCCTGTAAGCTGAGTTGCATGATGCTACCAGTAAAATTTACTCTTTGGGTTGTTTGTGAGGTTCCTCAGCCTCCTCTTACTTTTTTAAATCATTCGTAGACAGTGATACCCGATGTGATAAGAGCAGCCCTGGGTGGCACCCCTCCGGATGGCTCCTTTCTATTGGTGGGGAGCTTCACCTCCCGGAAAATTGGTCCGGCGTCCCATGGATATCTAAGTCGGGGCCATTACCAATGATAGAAGATTACAAATAATGGAAATTTTATTATGAAGAAAACAATACGAGCCTTATTATCATGGCATTGTCATCTCCTTCTCCACCTTCCCCAGCATAATACCGGTTACGAAGGAAAAACTCAACCCTTTCACTCATTACGCCATTCAGATTGAGGCAACTTTGGCTAAGATACATCTGATGTCAAACATGAGATGAGGCGGACAACTCCTTCTGATCCTGTCTTGGGTTATCAGGGGGCCACAAGATACCCAGCGAAGGCTTGGCTGCAAGCTTGGTAGTTGGATAGTAAAATGGGAAGTAGAAGGCCAATGGTTGCCTCAGAAGAACTTCATCCTTGGATTTCTGCTAGCGACAGGGCGTGCGGTGGGCATCAATTCGGTTTGGATTTGTTGGGTGATCTGTTCTCTTAGATCCCCCCTTTCATCTTGCACTCCCTCCAGGGTGAATATACAGCGTTGCCACCGGAGTGCCCATAGGATGGTCCACCTTCCCATGCGGAACATGCTTTCTGAAAAATTTATCTGGAGGGAGAGATGGCCAGTGCCAACCAGAATAGCATACCACTCCTATGGCCTGGTGGATCTTGGGACCAACATATGATCATTCTGAAATCTGTACGAGTCCACAAACATAATCCGAATACCCACAAACCCAAAGGTTATCCAATTGTCCAAACCAAATCACTCCAAAGCTATCTGATCCCTGCCAGAATCTTTCGGGCATATTACGCCTAACGTGCTAGGTTACAGAGCAACACGACTCGCCCCAGCTCCGGCCAGTGTCGTCCCGATAGCAACCGCAGTGGTCCTGTGACGCTCTAACCTCACGCCTGACGCGACTTCCTGATCGGAGTGTGAGTGGGCCTGGAAGTGCGAAAAGGGGTGTGCCAAGGATTTTTGGAAAGTGGGGTTGGAGTCTCAGGTCGGAACTGGGATCTCTTCTGGCAAGCTTCAGGGATGTGAATGCAAGAGGATAGGTGCGGAGTGGAGTCCTATTTTATGTTCAGGGAAACGGGGCTACCGCCTCCATCGGTTCCGCCGCCTGGGCCGGGGTTGTATCTGGTGCACTATCAGGACGTTATGGGTATCCCGCTGATTTGTCACCTACCGACGTCGAACGTTGCAAGACTCCGAATCCGACGCGGCTGGCCTCAATCAAAGACTGTGCACCCGTCATTCTTCCTCCGAACGAGTTCGCCGGATGAAGCCGGCGACTCGGTAGTCGTGGTCCCGCAGACATTCCAAGCACGGGGGTTGGGGCCAGTAAGGTGCGATTGCGAGCCAAGGGACAATGGTGAGGGAGTGGTAGGGTAGGATGCGGTGATAGGGAGGGAATCCGGTCCGCAAGATAATGCTTCCGGGCTCCATAAGGACGCGACACGTGTATGGGCTAGAGTAGTTGGGGAGATGGGGGGTGCGTCCCAGGGCTTGGTCGAGGTCCCACTCACAAATACGTTCGTTCCTTGTCAGGTAGGGAAATTTCGGAGGTTTCGCCGAGGGTCGTGCAGACAAACAAGAGTGCTCCCAATGTTCCCGGAATTCCCGATTCCTCAAACACTCGCGGTCAGTGACACGAAAGGCAACGCCGAAATTCATGCTGCAAGTGGAGGTGGAACATCAGCCATTCGGGAAAAGAGTTGAGTTCGGGTTTCGCAGACGTGCGTGTAGGCAGCGATCGTCCTTGGTCGGGCTGACGTGTGCGTGCACAGGACCTGTCCTCGATCGGGTGGGTGAAAGCCAACGGGACACGAGCTGGATCGTCCTTTAGGGAGATGGTCATCTAGCATGCCTATCCAATTCATACACACATAGAATCACGCCTCTAATCCATGCAGCTAGCTTACATACAAACAAAAAAGATCGAGGATCATGCAACAATTATTTGGCCAATCATCCCAGAGATCACACAAGCCTCGATTGCCGGTAACCAATCAATCAGATTTGCTGATTCAAAAAGGCAATCTAATTACAGTTGGGGGAGGCGGTGGATAGGCTTGGGAAAGAGGGGGCATGAAGCGATGAATTTCCCCATCACTGGAGGGGAGTGGGACGAAATGGATGGAACGATGGATGCCGGGGAAGCGAGGGTGTCGACGTTGATGGGGGAGAGAAGCAAGGTAGTCAGGGTAGAGGGTGCAAAGGGTGCGGAGGAGGGCAGCCGAAAATCGTCATATTCCTCGTACGCGGGGATCGTGCCCGTAATGACGCAATAGACCTCTATATTATTTTACTCCTGCCAATCTACGCTGAAGAGAAGGACATGGAGGGGGAAGAAAGTGACAAGCAAACGAAGGGTTGCGGGTCAAATTGGGGAGGATTGGGAGGGCGACTCGCTTTTTTGGCGGCGCCTGCTTCTTGATCCCTCAGCGGTGGCGCCTCCATCTCTTGCGTCTTCCTCCCCTTGGCGGTTCCAGATTGCGCGCCAGATCCCCCTGCAGTAATTGCAGTGGCGGCGCTCCTGACTCTTCGATCGGCCGCTTTCCTTCTGTTGCTGCCCACACCCTCTGCACCACGGCCTCTCTTTCTTCTCTGCTTAATTCGTTGGGGCCACCTGATCCCCCCGATTCACCTTCTTCCTCCGCTTCTCCCGAACTGGCTTCCTCCGACTCAGCGTCCCCTGATTCTTGATAATCAGGATCGTCTGACTCATCTACCGATCCCTCCTCCTCTGGCGTCGTGTCCCCTTCCGTATACTGGAGGTGACCGCCTCCCTCGCTTTCCTCTTCCTCCTCGACCTCCTCACTGGTTTCTCCTATAGGGACGCGCCGAATAAGCGGGTCCCATGTGGAGAGGTCAGTAACGTCGACGATTAGGTACGCACCCCTCGAGGGTAAGTAGTAGCCGTTCCCCTCCAATTCCGTACACGTGGACCAAAGAAGATGAGGCTCGAGGGTACGAGTGAGTGTAGCTGTCCCCAGTCTCTCGTCGCAATGCGAGAGGATCTCCAACGACAGATCGTCCAATACTTGGGTCAGGAACACCAGCAGTTCGTCCGTAATAGAGCTTAGATGGTCGTCTCGCACTTCTCCGAATATGATCCCCAGAAGATCTTCCTCCGTGTCCGTTTTCCACCCTTGGATGAGCAGTAGCTCCACCTCGTCGTTCGGGATCTCGTCCTCCGTGATCCTGTCGGCAGGCTCCGCCCAATGAAAGGCAATCTCAAGGAGGCAAAAACTGAGCGCCACGTAGGTCTGCCGCCACTGCGTCCACTTCGCCGCGTCTAGGATCGACACATCCAATTGCTTGATCGTGAAGGACAGAGATGTTTCTTCGACAGATTGTCAAAACCTGGGAATATCAGAGGGGAGGCTGAAGGTAGAGAGACGATGGCGGTTCATTGAGGCCGAGCAAAGGGATGAAGCACAGAAAGGGTGACTTCAGGCGCGGGCCGCGCGGTGGAGGAGAGGCGGAGCTGAAGATCTATGTCGTTCATTGTCACGACGCGATCGCGCGGCCCAGTCCCGCAGCTGTCGGAGGATGGCAGTGTGCCGTGCTGGATGTATTGTCGTGAGGTCGCCTGTAAAGACGACGATGACTGACACGTGGCTCTTGCGTGGTGGAGATAGGCGCAAGAAGGCTGACAACTCGGCCAACACTCATGCCACTCCGGACTGCCCGAACTGGAACTCCGCCGCCACGTGAATAGCCGTCGTACTGAAGAAGGCCGTGAATCGGAGAAGATCTGGACTCAATCGAGGATGCTGCACTTGCCGGATCGTTGAGAAAGCTCCCCCAGGTACCATTAGTCGTTCACTAATCACCTGCTCCGTCGAAAAGCTCATGGTGATGGAGGCGGAGTCGAAGATGATGATGGTTGAGAGAGAAAGGAGGATTCTCGAGAGTCGTCCTCCTCGTCTTGACCGAGGGACGATGCAGACGAAGGAGGAGAAGAGGAAGAGGGGAGAGGACGAAGGTAGGACACATGTTGAATGATCAGTCGAGCCGATCGACTTCTCGACACCTCCGGCGCAAGCCGCACCATGTTCACCCCACTGGGGCCGAGCTCTGCCAAGCGAAATCTCCCGAAGAATCGGGGCGCAAGCTTGCCTTGGCGAGCACATTTCCTCACCTGCACGATGTCCCCTAATTTATAATGGGGCCGAGGCCCACAGTTCCCATTCCGGGCCTCGTAACTCCGGACCTGTCTCCCATGGGCCATTTCTGTCATCGTTATCTTTTTCGGGCCAGTCGGGGGAGGACCTTTTCCATCAGTTTTAGGTGGCGTTGGGCCTTGTCCTTGACCGTTGCCCTAGTGGTCCATTGTGGAAGGGTCGTCTCCTCATTTAGGCTCGGGCTACACAGGGTAGGCTATTGGTCCGTAGTTGGAAAGAGGTCGGACCTATGGATTCGTGGGGTGTCCCCCGACGAATAGTCAAGGTATGGTCTACGATATCGGGCCAAGGCCTCGTGTCATTTGCTGCAATATTGTGTCGCATGGCAGTCTTTATCACTCGATTGGCGTTCTTTACGAGTCCGTTGGATTGTGACATATGGGGAGCAGTGTGGCGAACAGAGACACCATGTAGGACCAGGTTCCTAAAAACTTCCCCTCTAAATTGTGCCCCGCTGCCCGTTAGAATCTCTTCGGTGTCCTGGTGCATCCCGATAAAACGGTTAACGGATAGGCCTCGATCCATTTTGAGAAATGGTCTACGAATACCAGTAGAATTGAATACTCGCAGTTATTAGGTCCAGGGGGAAGGACAATATCTGTGGTGTCCATACTAACCCTCTGGAATGACCGTTCGACTATGGTAGGCACTATCGATCTGGGCGACTGAATCGGCGTCTTGTCAGCGGCGCCGACTTGACAGTTTCGGACGATGAACTTAACATCGTCGCGAATGTTGGACCAGTACCACTCATTTTTGTCGATTGCCGCCTTTGTGATTCTGATAGCGAAATGGGCCGCAGTCTCCTCGTGGGCTGACTTGACCCAGTCATACCTTACGAACGGATGCGGGACAAACATCCAAATCCCGCTTCGGTCTCTTTTTCGTTTTTCTAATCGTCCCTCATTCCATCGGTAATCTCGAGCTCTCTCATTGGCCCGTCTCCAATCTTCCTTTGTGAAGTCTCAAAGAGGGTTCCCAACCACCGTAGCTATCAAAACGACGTCTGTCCATACTTCAGCTCTTCGAAACCGTCGAGTCTTTTCTAGCCCTTCCGACGTGGCCTCGAGGAATCGAGCCTCCGTCGGGATCTTATCGGTACAACATAGAGGACACAACCAAGGTTTGTCCGCATTCCGGTACTGGATACAGGAACCATGGGCTCGTGAAACGCATTACTGACATTCTACCCACTCAACATAACCCTCCCCGCTTGGCCGCATAGGGACTGAATAGACTATCGAAATTGCCTCGCAAAAATAGCAAAATTTGTCAGGTAGGGAGGGAAAAGATGAGGATGAGAGGGGAGAAAGAGGAACCTCATACTAGTTACCTCTGTCACCAATCGCCTCGTGCTACTTCTTGTTGTGAGAAAGAATTGTCACTTGTCCGTACCGTGGTCAGTTCTGGTTCTGTCCACGACGTAATCTCTTCGGCCTTAGCAACCCTTGCCCGACGGTGCAGTCGCGTAAATCTGTCTGCGTCACCGTGCCGCTCCGTCTTTCGATGGATGATGTCAAAGTCGTATTCTTACAGTCGTACCATCCAGCGCCCAATCATTCCCATGTAATTAGTGAGTAGCTTGAGAGCTAACAAGGGTTCGTGGTCCGTGACGAGCAGGAACTTCTGCCCGTACAGATACGGATGGAAGTGCTGAATTCCCCAAACCACTGCGTAGCATTCTCCTTGCGGAGCTGAATCGTTCCTCCTCTCGTCCGGTACGGTACGGGACGCGTACTCGATGACGTGTTCGCGACCATCGTTCCCCTTCTGCGCCAGGATAGCGGAGATTGCCTCAAGCTGCCAATATGTGATGAGTATGAATTGCTTGGCCGGGTCCGGTTGAATCAAAATAGGCGTCGTGGCTAGGGCCTCTTTCAGAGCACTGAAGGCCTGTTCGCACTCCGCGTTCCAACTGAGGGGCTGGTCCTTCCGTAGCAACAACAGAAAAATTCCCACGAGAAATGAAAGTTGAATAAACATTCCATTAAAAAAAAATCCTTCATATTTATAAATTATCATTCCAATGTTCATCCATTTCTAAAATTTGATAAGTTCCTGTCTAAATATGAGTTCTCCCTTCCAACTATATCTATTCGTTCAAGATGGAATGAAAGTCTGGACGATTTTATGAAATGTCTTAATTAAACTTTCATTCTACTATAACAAAAACCTTCTAATTTAGATTGGACTAACCCATTTATGACTGAAAATCCTTACATAGAATGACAGTCCAATTAAAATATTTCATGAATTCATCCAGACTTTCATTCCATCTCTAGCATGCAGTTCAAATAAGAAGGGATACCCCATTCTTGGAATGAAAGTTCTCAAGTAAGACAAGAAATTTTAAAATTGGAATGACATTTTTCAAGATGGAATGAAAATTTAGAATTTAGGATGTAATTTTAATATAGATAATTCAGGAAAGTTATCTGTTGAAGTTCGTTAGGGGCCGTGCGATAGCGGCAAAACCCTTCATGAATCGACGATAATATGAAGCCAACCCCTGAAAGGCTCGAACTTGCGTCAGTGACGTGGGAGTCGGGGCATCTCGTACGGCCACGATTTTTCTCGAATCGGGCGTCAAGCCTCCCCGAGTCACCACGTAGCCTAGGAACGAGATCTCATAAAGGAAAAAATCATTTTTTTCTAGCGCAACCTTAAATCCAGCGTCCCGCAGGGCTCCCAATGTCCATTCAATATGTTGTGCGTGTCCGTTGAACGATTATGAGTAGACCAAAATATCGTTCATATACACAATGACGAAGAAATTGATCATCCATTGAGTCAGTCGGGTTTTGTTAACGAAATTTGGGAACGTTACATTCATCGCTCTCTGGAACGTAGTCGGCGCATTGCAGATCCCCATCGGACACCGAACCCACTGCCAGGTATTTTCAAACAAAACGAAGGCAGTCTTGGGTCGGTCCTCCTCCTTAACCAGGATGTGGTGGAACCCATGACGAATATCAAACTTACTAAAATAATTAGCACACCCAATCACATCAAGCAAATCGTCGATACGGGGAAGGGAATACACATCCTTAATCGTGATATCATTCAGTTTGTGATAATTGATGCAAATGTGAATCGACCCGTTTTTCTTCTGTACTAGGACTACGGGGAACGACCACAGTCCTGTGGCTGGTTCAATCCACCCGTTAGTTTCGAATTCCCGAATCCTTTGCAATGTTGTTTTTCATTTCGCGAGGGAATATCTGTACGGTTTGCAATGGATCGGAGGATGATTTCCGGTCTGGATCTCATGTTGAATGACTAACGATGGTCCAATATCCGTGTCTGTCACACTGATCGCTCCCTGATATTCCTTTAGAATTTCTGCGATAGACGGTGAATCTTGTCGGGCACGCAATGTGGTACATGCAACTCATAGAGTTCGTTTAGTATTTGAATGGTAATCTGTTTCATGTTGATCCTATCATTGTTTTCGAACGGGGGCGCGGAGATGAATGAATTGTCCGATTGCCAAGAAAACACTGTGGCCATCATTTCGGCCTCGTCCTCTCGGATCTCCACGTGTTCCTCCGGGATTACGCCGTCGCGGACATCCTGTCATCATACGGGTCTTTCAGCGATCCTGATCCCGAGATTGTTGTGTCCTGTGCCGCGACGCGCAGGGAGTTCCAAAGCCTCGGCCTCGACCCCTAGTCTCAGCAGTCTTATCTTTTTCCCGGAGGCAACAAGGAACGGGGTAGCTCCGTAATATCGCAAAAGGCTTGCTTATCCCTGTATCTCACAAGCAGTGGAAAGGTGCCCTCATATAAGGTCCAAGGGGGTTCCAAAGAATCGGCCATCCGGGAAATTTGCATAAAGCGGTTCACCCAAAATTAATGCGCGTGTTCTCTGGATATTTCCTTTCGTGAGTTTGAACGTTTTCATGGTTGCTTGTCGAATCGGATAGCGGACTCGTTGTTGCACTAACTCCCGAATTACTAACTCATCTTCGTCGCTATTATCAGTGTCTCTTGAGAGGTTTGGCTCCTTTGTCTAGTGATTACTGCGTTCCGCAAGTTTCTTCCAAGCGATCATTCGAAGAGTTCCTCTGGGCATCGGAGAAGCTTTCTGGGTTACCTCTGCCACCGTTCTAAGAGTCAATCTCATAGGGATGGCGTATGGTTTCCCTCCCGTATTCCGGAGAACAATCGATCGTCTTTCGAAATCTAGGTTGGCCCGCAGTGCCGTGAGAGCGGGCAATCCCAAAAGAACGTCGTATGTGCTTACATCTAATACGTCAACATCTCCCAAAGCATGTACCTTTCCCAGTCGGAAAGCAACGTTGGGTATTCGTCCTACGGTCTTGATTTTCTCCTCATCTGCGGAGACAAGATGATCTCTGTCTGTTAGCATGATCAAGTCTTTTCTTCTTCCCTCTCTTTCTACTACCTTTAGCGAACTAGCCAAGACAGCAGCTCATGAGTCGATGATGGCATTGTACGGGATTCCCCAGACCTCGATGTCACATTCGGCGGATTTCCATGGGATCGCTTTGATCCGCAGAAAGTTATCATCTTTTTGTATTAGTCCCACTCGTATAGGTTCCGACGTACTGGCGGGGTTCGGGTTGTCCTCTTGGACATGGGCTTCTCCTTTCGTGTTCGCCGTTCTCGCAAGGGCGAATCGTTTTTTGTTCGCCTTGCAGTGTTGCAACATGCGCTCGTTAGCCTGTTTCGAAATGGATAACAGATGTCCGATCGGGAGGGGAATGCGGTGATCCAGAGCGCGGACGACGTTTAGAACATCTATTTCCCCAGTGACGAAGGTGGGTCCTCCAGATTCCATTTCCCCTGGGAAGGGTCTCCATTCCGCCACATCTCGCTGTTCATGTGCGGGTCTAATAGTCCCGATCATTCCCAAACCCGGATATCCTTATGTCACGTACTCGTCTAGAGGAATAAGCTCTGCAACGTCTTTCGTAGTGGCAAACGTACTCCCTCCTCCTTCCATTTCTTCCAACATCGCTCCTACTCTTCCTGGCCCATTAGCGATGAGTGTCGCGACCACTGGTGCGCCTCCGACTCGAGCTTGTGCGGGTCGATGGGGGCAGTCCCGAGCTATGTGTCCAGGCAGGTGACACGTGTAGCAAACACTCGGGTTGCCTGCAGCTCTGCCTATCGCCAGAGTCGGGGTCAATCTGGGCTGTATTGGCGCGACTCTTACGGCAATGGGATGCATCGATCGCATCAACGACTCTATCCTAGCGTTGTGCTCACACTGCTCCTTTTTGCTTCCCTGTATCAAGGTAACCAACGTTTTGGTCAGTTCTAGTACCGCAGTCGATTCGCTTGATCGTGTAGGACTTTCGGCCGGGGGCGGGGGAGCAGTCATCACAGGAACAAGTACCCCTGTGATTGCGTCGGGAGTCGATCGTTTAGGTATGATTTGCTCAAGATATAAGACAGGACCCGACACGAATCCCATGTTTTCGAATTTGTTTTGTAGCGCGGCGAGTTATGCTTTGGCTCTCGCTAATTCAGACGAATCTTCCTCCCTAGGATAGTCTTCTCCTTCCAGGAAGCTCGAGGCGAACTTCCATTCCATCTCTTCCGCTGCTGCCATGATCTGTTGCAACGTATGGTTAATGGGGGAAAACTATTTCCGCAGTCTCGCCCTCATTGTCCTACTGCGAAGCCCGTCAATAAACAAATTTCTCCCTACCTGTTCTCCCCATTCAGTTTTAACAAACATTTGGTAAATCCGATTGCGATATTCAGTGACGGATTCGAGTGGTTTTTGGACTCGATCCTTAATCATGAAAAAAGCTTGTTCTAGATGAATGTAATCGAAACGATTCAAAAACTCTTGTTCGAATGTCGAAAGATCGATCCGAACGTATGTGTTGAACCAATGATGCGCGTCCCCTCCCAATCTGGCGGGGATATTGATTCGTGCTTCGTCATTGTCGTATCGCTGCGCTCGGAGCGTGGCCAGCCATGCTCCCGCTAGACGATGGGCAGGATAAAAAAGGTAGAGATCGTGCGGGGCCACAAGTGCCCGTGTCCGCGGTGCTGGTGCCTGATTGGGCTAGTTGGGATTTTGCTGATTGACGTTCATATTTATTGCCTGTCGAGCAGCCGACCTACTTCTTGTTGCTATAGGATCGTGTCGTGGTGCGTTCCGCGGTCTGGGTCGTCCTCTGTTAGCCAGATCATTTTATGCTAACTACCTTCTTGCTAATCCCGTGGGCTTGCCATGTATCTGCTCCGATACCAACCTCACGCCCAGCGCGACTTTCTGATCGGAGTGGGATGGGGGCCCGGAAGTGCGAAAAGGGGGTGTGCCAAGGATTTTAGGAAAGTGGGGGGGAAGGTCGGAACTGAGATCTCCTATGGCAAGTTTCGGGGGTAAAAACATAAGAGGGTACATGTAGGTCGTACTCGACACTTTAATTTTTATAAGGATGTAGGCGGTCCGCCCCTCGTGGAGTGTGCATAGAAGAGAGGCCGCAAATGTCGTGCAGCATAAGGCAGATGGCATGCGCAGTGCATCCCCGACTAAAAATCCCAGGGTACTCTTCCACAATCACAGTACCGACAGATCTAAACACTTTTGCATTCTCGGACAAAATCCTAACAACCTTGCTCCTTCCAACGGACTCAGCTCCAAAACTCGAAAACGGAAATCACCATCTCTTCTGGTTTGGCCTTCACGGTTGGTTGTGTGGTTCGACCAATTGTCGGGGCCGCGCAGCCCAGGTTCAGTCTCGCCGGGCGATTTCTGAGGCTCGCTGTACCTGGTGCTGCCAACACTGTTTACACGGTTTACAGGGCCAATAGCGGGCTATAGAGTTTCACGGCACCACCGTGAGCCGGTGATATGGAAGGAGGAGGTGAAAGGGAGGGAAACTGGCGGGAATAACAACGAAGCCGGGGGATATGAAATATTGCGTGTTATAAGTATCCGGGTAGTCGGGGCCCCTAGGGTCATTAGCTATGGCACAGTGAAAATTCCTTGCGCACAATCGAATTCCAGATTTCTTAAATTTCCCCGCCGTCAGAGTTGTTCATTTTCCCAGTATTCGCGGTATTCCAGGTCCCTCAAGCTCTCACGATCGGACATCCAATAGGAAAATTCTGCAGCCATATCTGTTTAGAAAGCTCGGTCTCCTGCATCCTCGTGCGAAGTCTTAGGCTGACTCACGGAGGCGAGCGCGTACGTAGCGACTCGACTTCCTCGAGATCGTGGTCGTACGCGAGCGTGTACATGAGAAACAACGGGTTGGTTATGGGGGTCAATCGCATTCAACATGCATGCAGATAACCTACCCCTGCTATGTTGGGTGCGATCCGATCATTATATGCCATACATGTGACGGAAAGGAGGAAAGAGGGGACAAAACAATCAACTCCTCGCAACACTTTGGGTGATCGAAGGTTAACGGCTAAATCCAAACGTCCATAACGAGCGTTTTCAATCAGATATGAGCGTATAGCTCATGCAAGCGAATAGTGAACAAAGACGAAACAGGCATCGCAAAAGAGGTTGGAAATCCGAAAAGATCGCTAACAAAATAAACTTCACATTCATTCCATGCATGCATACGAAGTCAACGACAAGGAAAATCAAAGATGATTTACAAGAGAAGTCCAAAAAGGTCGTGATAAAATCGACCATATCCGGATCCAAAATTATACAGATGAACAGAGGAAAAGAAAGGAACAACAAAAAGAACCTTATCCCACACCCACACAATTGTGCTCTCTCTCTCTCTCTCTCTCTCTCTCTCTCTCTCTCTCTCTCTCTCTCTCTCTCTCTCTCTCTCTCTCTCCGCGCTCCCGATGCGAGCAGTCCGCCACCTCGCATCCACACAGAGTTGTCACCCTGCTTGGTCCGAGCATGCAAGCCAGGTTCGCACGTGCGCCACAGTCCGTCGCAGCCCCGCACGTCAACCCCGCATACCCGACACCAGCGCGTCAGATCGTCTAACTCTCATACTTACTCACCTTCCAAACTTGCTCGTTGGCCGACCCTCACTGATCGCGCTAACCTCGAAATTCTTAGAGAGCAAACTAATCGTGCTTGCGGAATTTGTAGCATGCATGTCTGCGCGAAAGGTACAGGATTAAGCCCAGGTGGACAAGAGGAGAAGAGAGGAAGTGCCTACGTCTGCATGGTCAGGCCGTGGCGTGGGGGTCATAGCCACACTTCATGCATCGATCCAGTCATGCAGGCGCTCCGACCAATTAGAACAGAGTATACGAGGCGAGGAAGAAGAAGAAGAAGGCGAGTAAACACGAGGGAAACCGAGAAAGAAGAAAGACACAATTGCAATCTTGCCCGCCAAAAACGAAAGTTGCACAAGATTAAGGGCGCGATCCAGTCAGAGCACAGTTCCCGCAGCAAGATGCGCGCAAGCGTGGCGCACAAAATTCAGAGTACCTAAATTCCTAGCCTAAATCCTAATTGCAATATGAAATTTCGAAAAAGCAGAAAGGAAAAACAATTCCACGAGCTCGTAGGGGCTCGATATCAGCTGAAAATTCAAAAACAATATTCCCCCGCGATGATCGCGCCAAAATTCTCAGTGCTCACGGCAGAACAAGAAAAAAGCTACGGTACAGTTATTTCTTGCGCTTGTCATGGCGCGGTCATCCAACCGTTGGCGCGGGATTTTCCCGACACCGATCCGAAAACTTCCAACAGAAAACGAAAAGAAACGAGGGCATCCATGCAACTAGCCCGCCCGACCCATTTTTCCACAGCTCACCCCTTCGATCCGTCACATTCCCCCAAGTAGCTTCGCGCAGAAAGTCGCACGATTTCATAAAGTGGTTCGTCAAGCTCTGCCCTATACTCCTCAATTACCCCTACTTTAATCTTCTACACGATGAGGAGTGGGGGAGATACCATTCGCACCAGGTCCTGTTTAAACGGGGATACAGAGATATTAAGCTACCAGTACACCCGGGCGTGGAGGCACTGCACGACACGCCTAGGTTTTCCGAACTGCAAGTGATGCAATTTTTTTCCTTTTTGGCTAACACCGCAAGCCATTCTCATCGGGTGGACCCGACGGGTGGAATTTTAGGAGTAGGTGACAAGCGAATCTCCACAAGGTTGGTTGGGGCCCAACCAAGTTGAAAATGCGATTGAGCCTCTCCTTAAACTTCGGAGGCTTGGATCAAAGACTTGCAGGGTTATGTTCTTAATTGTATGGACTTTACATGGAAAGGTTGGGTGATTCGGGATGACATTGTATGAAATGCGGATGCTAAGGAGTGAATTTTTTCATTGGACCTTCAGGGGCAACTGCGTTATTGCCAAAACTCAGTGAAAGTATTAGAGAAAATCATAGACAGGATCCCTTTAGACTGAATTTGAGAAAATGATATAGGAAGGGGATTGGGTAGCCATTACAAACCAATCAGACCTGATTCAATTTGGTAATGTTTTACAAACTAACCCCATTGGGGAAACTCTCCTATCCCTATCCAGACAGACTCGTGGCAATACAGTAATTCCCAATCCATCAGAGGAAACTCAATTGGTGGGTACTAGGTAGTCATCAGATCTATAGAATAAGGATACAAAAATGCAAAACAACACAGTTGGCCTTCAGACTACACACTCTCATTTCATGCCTAGCACTGGACCCCATCCATTGAGTCTAGACCAGCCGAGTGTACAGGAGAGCACTTTATACACTGTCTGTCAATTCCACATACAGAATGTTAAAGCCGAATATCAACTAAAGGGATAGAGTAGCAGCTAGATGGACGAAACACCCGAAAACTAAACGGTTCCAGATCATGAAATCAAAATCAGCCAAAGTGGCATTGCTAAAATGACAAATTAAACATCATTGTTTCCCTACAAATGACTGGTTGATATATATATATATATATATATATATATATATATACAGTTTGTCAATGCCCCTCGTTTGTTGTCCTCTTCTCTCTCTCTGCCTACGGTTTACCGGCCAGTTCTGTTTGTGATGATATATATATATATATATATATATTAAAACAAGCTTCATCGATTGGTGGGGAGCAGCACCTGCTGGAAACCGGGTCCAGCGTCCCATAGATACAACCATATCCTCACTAATTGGCACAAACTGGGAACCGGGCCCAGTGTCCCATAACGAGTACGTTCAGAAAAAATCATCAGAAAATTCAATGAAAATAAGACAAGGAACTACTAGAAAAATCTGATTGGCTTTTTTTTTTTTTTGCTGGAAAATGGGTTCAGCATCCCTTGAATATACAAATGAAGCACATAGTTATCAGAACAAGCAACCTCTTCACCTATAATAGGCGCCAGAAAACACCTTCCAAAGCTAGCTGCTAGCTCTAACCTTTCTTCATTTTTCCACCCTCTTCTTGAAGAGAATGGAGAGATCAAAAAGAATTTTGAGAAGGATTAATGCCCATCACAAAGCATACCATTGCATGTCAACCAGGGATAAGGCCAACGGTGGAAAAGGGTCAGGAAAGAATTTTGGAGCTCTGAGAGTAGTTCCTGGAGAGAGAGAAAACCAATCCCTTAAATTGAGAAAGAAATTTCGTTTGAGACTTTCACCTTAGAGTCCTTCCTTCAGATTCTCCCAGCCAGTCTTTATTGAATTTGAGGATACACCTAATGATATCTCCATTTTGATGCATCGTTTGTAACTTAGTTTTAACCAAAGACCATTGCGCGCGTATTTTCGTTTGCACAAATGACAGAATTAATTCAACTAAATCATTTCCTTCCAATTTAACCTCTTCTTTTTCAAAAACACATCGTTTGTGCCAAATGGCCCAGAGAATGGCCTTCCGCCCTATATAAAAAAAAATACTTTGCAATTCAGAAGGATTCATATCCATAGGATTCTAATGTCCAGTAGGATAGTTTTTCAATTTCAAGGTCAGTCGATCCCTGTCAATTCTCTCCACACAAAATCCCACCTTCTCCACAATAACACTGTACCAGGACATTAAAGGAAGACATGCTCAATTGTCTCTCTAATTCTTTTACTAGGAAAGGCCGAAAAACATGCTTTACACCATGGAAGGGTTAGACCTTTTTGCTTGAGATTGGAATGGTCAATGAGCCAATCATTAGTAGGAAGACATCGGTGAATGATTTGCCATTGTAATGAAGCGAACTTGGCGGGTCTTCTGAGATGATTAAGGAATTTTATGTTTCTGATTCTTTGTATATCTATATTCAGATGTTTTGTCCATCGGTTTATTATTATTGATGACACATCCACTCTTGGTCTTAAGAGTCGGTACGTTGCCTTCACCGTAAGCGATTGTAATGTACGCAACTTACATTTTTTCCCGGTCTTCCATACCCATTCAAGTGGATCCAAAGGAAGGTCTGGAATAGGAGTAGATGGATGAAAGATCCGCCACCCAGACATTGTTGAGATAAATATGACTCTTACTCTAAACATTTCCTGAAAAGGTACAAATTCCACTTGGTTCTCATAACTAGGGCTTAGCAGGTGAGTTGACGTTAATTTGAATCTGGTCACTAGGGCCCCTTCTTTTAATACGGTTATTATTTGCCCAAACTGCCAATCTTGTGGGTCATGTGTGATTGTCACGAAGTCACCCTCCTGAAATCTTACTCCTCTTCTTAATTCTCTTACCCATGTCAGAGGGATAGAATCGATTATACGTTTTAATCTCTGCTCCAATTTATGAGCGTAAGTAATTTTTTTTTTTTGTATCTCAAAAGTCTTCCTCCCTTTTTTAACTAGATCCCAGATATCTTTGATACGAATCACCATTTTTTTCACCCATTGAGACCAGGGGGAGCTAGAGCTATTATATATACATCCGTTTTCATCCGTAATCCATCTAGTATTTCCAAACAAAGGTTGTCGAAGGATTTCCTCATAGCGTGTTGGCCTAGGTTTATTTGGTAAGGGTAACCTTCGCAATGACCGCAAAAGCGATACCCATAGGTCATCCAGACATAGGTCGTGGATAACGTCTCCTTTCTCCCCATTACTTTTTGAGCGTTTCGAAATTCGAAGGTCTAGGAATTTTTCAGAATAAGTCCTCTACCCAAGTAAGAGGGGGAACTTTGGGGGGGACTGAGAACGACGCTGAAGGGAAAGGTCATCGTAGTGGTGGTCGAGGGCGGTAGTATAAGGGCACTGCGAGGAGGTATGACCGTCCAGGCGGCAACGCAAACACCCACGCCARCCCAAAATAGCCACGCGCTCCTCCGCGGAAAGGACACCGCGAGGAGGGACAAAGCGCTGAGGGAGGACCTGCTGAGGGACCTCGGGGGGCGACGCKCCAGCGTAACCAGGGCGGCTGCGTGCCCRAAAAAGGGTGGAGAGGATGAGCTGGAGGCGCTCAGCCATAGGGAGAGTAGGGTCTTCCAGGTGGTGGTGGACGGCCTC